CAAAGAGTGAGACAGCAAATGTAAATCCTACCATATCAGTAATTCAAGCTAAATATACAAAAAACACTCTAATCAAAAGACAGAGACTGGCAAGATAGATTTAAAAAAAAAAGTGATCCAGGGCCTCCCCGGTGGCGCAGCGGTTGAGCGCTGGGTTGCGAAGCTGCCCGCGGCCTCTGTTGCGCCGGTTCGATCCCCGGCTGCTCCCCGGCCACCAGAGGAGGGTCCCACATGGCGCGCAGACCTCTCCTGCCGCCCGCTGTTCCCCTCAGCAGTGTATTTCAGTCCTTCTGCCTGCTCTGCTTCCCGCTCTGGCTCTGGTGAATTCTCTCACCCTCCCGCGCTTCTGACTGTACCCAGTGCATGTATAAACAAAAACAAACAAATAAATAAATAAAACATGCCTCTATTTAAAAAAAAAAAAAAAAAGTGATCCAACTGTTTGCTATCTACTAGAGACACATAGACAGGCTTTGTATTCAAAGATATTAATAGGTTGAAAGGATGAAAAAAGATATCAAGCAAACAACAAACATAAAATATCTGGAATGGCTACATTAACATCATGACAAATTAGAATTTAAAAGGTGTTATAGAGCTGACAAAAGTACCAAATACAACAAGAAGATAAAACAGCTATAGGCAACCAAAAAGAGCACCAAAATACATGAAGCAAAAACTGACAGAATTAAACACAGAAATAAACAGTTCAATAATATGAAGACTTCAATGTCCCACCTTCAATAATGGATAAAACACATAGGGAGAATATTAACCAGGAAACAGAAGACTTGAAAAACACTATAGGCCAATTAGAACAGACTTTACCTGCAGAGCTCTCCAACCAAAAGCAACAGATATGCATTCTTTCACAAACTCACATGGAACACTCTCCAGGAAAGACCTTAAGCTAGACTAAAAGTATAATTTTTAAAGGATTGAATCATACATACAATGACATTAAAGAATAGCACACTGGGGTCTCCCTTCTGGTGCAAGGGGTTAAGACGCAACCTATGAAGCTATCCATAGCCACTGCAGCACAAGTTCAATCCCAGGCCAGGAAGCTACCCACATGGCACAGCAGACCTCTCCTGACTCGCCCGTTGCTCCCCTCAGCAGTGTATTTCAGTCAATCTGTCTGTTCTGTTTCCCACTCTGTCTCTGGTGAATCCTCTCACCCCCACACCTCTACCCCAATTCTTGTATGCATAAATAAATCTTTGGAAAAGAAAGAATAGCGGGCCTCCCTGGTGGCACAGGTGGTTGAGCTCAGCGCTGTGAACCTGCCCACAGTCTCTGCAGTGCTGGTTCAATCCCCGCCAGCCGTGAAGATACCCACATGGTGGGGCAGACTCTTATGTCTCGCCCGCTGCTCCCCTCAGCAGTGTATTTCAGTTGATCTGCCTGTTCTGTTCCCCTCTCTGTCTCTGGTGAATCTTCTCACCCTCCCGCACATGTGGCCTATACCCCAGTTCTTGTATAAAAATAAATAAATCTTAAAAAAAAAAAAAAAGAATAGCATACTTAGGTATAAATTAAACAAAAGAAGTACCATTTTTTTAATTAAAGATGTTAAGTAGAAAAACATCTCATATTTATTGATCAGGAGATTTAATATTAAGATGACAATACTCCCCAAATTGATCTATATAATCAAGGCTATAGCAATCTGAATCCCTGCTGACTTCTTTTAAAAAAACTGACAAGTTGATCCTAGAAGTCCTAAGAAAATGCAAGAAACCCAGGAAAGCCAAAGTAATCTGAAAAAAAAAAAAAAAGTTAGAAAACACATACATCAAATCTTACTACAAAGCTATGATCAAGACCACATGGTCTATAAGGATAGACAAACAGCTGAAAGGAATAAAAGAGTCCAGAAATAAACCAACTTATGGCCAACTGACAGTCTGATAAGGTTGATAATTCAAAGAATAGTCATTTCAAAAAAATGATGCTGAGACAACTGGAAATTCACAAGCAATCCTAACCCCAAACATGCAAAGAATGAAGTTGAACCCCTACTTCACACCACTTATAGAATTCACGCAAAACAGACCACAGGCCTAAGTTTAAAACCATAAAACAGAAAACCGTGAGTAAGCCTTCATGACCTTGCATTAGGTACAGTCTTCTTAGATGACACCCAAAATACAAGTGACAAAAGAAAAAAAGTCAATAAATTTGACTTCATCCACATTAAAAACTTCTGTGTTGCAAATGATACCATTAAGAAAATGAAATGACAATCCTCAAAATGGGGGAAAATATTTTTAAATCATGTATCTTATAATGATGACTTATATTCAGACTATGTAAAGATTCTTAATACTCAACAAAAAAAAGCCAATTCAATTAAAAAAATGAACAAAGAATTTAACAGGCATTCTCCAAAGAAGATATATAGATAGCCTATAAGCACATGAACAAACATTCAACATCATTAACCATTAGGGATATGCAAATCAAAAAACCGCAAGGACATACTGCTTCACGTCTCCTAAAATGGTTATAGTCAAAAAAACAAACAGATAACAAATGTTGAGACTGGAAAATCTGAAACCCTCATACACTGGTAAGATATACAGAGCAGTCATATTTGGAAAACAGCTTGACTGTTCCTCAGAAGTTTTAACAAAGAAAGTTTGTTTTTCCTATAAAAGCTTTAATTACCCCGGGGCCTAACTATTCCACTCCTGGGTATATACCTGAAAGAAATTAAAAGATAGCCACACAAAAACCTGCACACAAACCTACATTCACTGTAGCATTATTCAAAATCACCAAAATGTGGAGCTCACTCAAATGCCTATCAACTGCTAAAGAGAGAAATACATTTGACAATAAAAAAGAATGTGGTATTGATACAAGCTACACAAGCTACATAGATAAAACTGGAAACCATTATGTGAAGTAAAGGAAGCTGGTAACAGAAGACCACATGTAATATGATTTCATTATGTGAAATGCCAGAAAAAGGCAAATTCACAGAGATGGAAAGTAGATCAGTGTTGCCAAGGGATCAGAGAGAGAAATGGAGAGTGACTGTTAACGGATACAGGTATCTTGTTTTAGGATAATAAAAATGTTCTAAAATTAGATAGTGGTGATGAACACATAACTGATTAAACTAAAAACCAATGAACTGTACATTCTAAAAGGTGAATTTCAAGGTATGTGAATTCTCTCTCAATGCTATTATAAAAATTACTATATTATTACTTGTGCTGTCACTTACACGTGTAATTTTAAAAAGTTGAACTCATAGAAGCAGAAAGCACAGCAGTGATTGCCAGGGGTTGATGATGGTGTTGAAAATGAGGAGATATTCATCAAAGGTTCAAACTTCAAGTATGCGTAAGTTCTGAGAATCTAATGTGCCATATGGTGACTACAGTTAACAATACTGGATTATATACTTGAAAGTTGCCAAGAGAGTAGATTTTAAATGTTCTCTCAATATCGTCGACAATAAAATGCTAATGATGGAAGGAGAAGCAGGTGCTAACTAACCTTATTGAGGTGATAAACCTTTCATAACAAGTATCAATCATGACATTGTACATGTGAAACTCACACAACGTTATATGTCAATTATATCTCAACAAAGCTTGGGGGAAGACACACCATATGATACTATTTATATACAGTTCAAAAACTGGAAGAAGTAATGCATCTCATTAAAAATCAGTATAATGGTTACTTTTAAGTGGACAGGAGGCTGTGAATGAAGGGAGACACAAGGCTGCATAGGGTGAGAGCAAAGTTTTACTTTTTAACCTGGAAATGCTTACTTTGTGATAAGTCACACAGATACACAAGTTATTTGCACTTTTCTATGTTCTATTTCAATTTAAAATCATTTTTTTTAAAGAAACATATGGTCTTGTTTCTGAAAAATTATACTTCGCAATGTGTTGAGAGACTCTAGAATAAATAAATTTTTCTCAAGGACACTTTTTCTCTATAACTTAGTAAAATCAACCATTCCAATAACAGTAAAAAATGAACTATTTAATAAGAAAGGATAAAGCATCTAATTGATATTAGCAATAATGGACGTCACTATAGATCAAAGTTAAAAGCAAAGTGGAAAATGCACAGGGTTAGAGTAAATGGTTCTGCACTTGACACATTCCTATGCCCTCAGTAGATGCTACTGAGAAGACTCTGGGGCTCTTGAGAACAACTGTGGAAAGCGCCTCCACTCAATGTCTACCAAAAGCTTGTTTACTTCCCTCAACTCAATAACCTACAATTTTTCTTGCTATAGTGGCTACATCAATCTCACTTCTCAGACAGGGCAATCTTTCACCTATTCCACCTTCAAGTTCTTTATTTGGCTTTAAGTCAACAATTTTAACACCAAAATCAAGTTTCAAGCAGTTCTACTACCATGTTATTCTGAGACTTCCAAAACAGAATGATTTTACCTTCTCACTGGAACACAGAGCCACCAAAAAGATATAAATTCTGTTTCCACCCACAATACTTACCCCTGCTAAACATGCCCCAGACATTTGTTCTTCTTATATAAATACAATGTACAAATCATTCAGATTTGTGAGCAAAATTATCTTTACACATTTCAGAGATTTTACTGACAAATGACTTTTAAAGTATTATCTCCTCTAAACTTCATTACTGGAAGAAAAACGCTACCACTTCTGTTTCCTTTAATACATTACTAACTTTAAACTTAGGGTCTAGAAGATTCTGGTTAAAGATTAAATTGTATAAATTAAACCTTTTTGTATTTTTGTAAGTCAAATATGTAATAAAGTAACTAAATATGAAGCTTTGGTGCTAAGGCACTCCCTTTTCTCAGGGTTTTGCAAAGGAAAAGTCCATTGCTGTGCAAAGCAAACAAGTATCTTCCAGGCATATGCTCAGGACGAAAAAAAAAATGGCAGAGAAAGAACTCCAAACAATACCAACACTTAGGCCACAGGGAAAAAAATGGTGAAAAAATTTGAAAATAACTGTAAAAATATACTTACAGCCTCAAATTGCAAATGGCTATCCTTCAAGAAACTTTGAATTTTGTCCTTGGGTAAAATACTGAATCTGAATCGAAGGAGATCCATTTCTTGTTGAATGAACCAGCGTCTAAGTTCTTCACTAAAACGGAAACAAGTATAAATGAAAAGTCCAGTGATTAGTTTTTAAAAAATTAAATCTAAGAAACTTTTATGAAACAAAATTCAATATTTGAACATGAGCAATAAGGAGAAGTTAAAAAGCATACAAGTCTTCTACCACATATCACAATCTTCTAAGGCTGTGTTAAATATGGGCAAAAGGTATTGCTCTCATCCCCTGCACCTCTGGCCTATACCCCAGTTCTTATTTGCATAAATAATTTTTTTAAAAAAAAGGGATCCTTTCTTTAAAAAAAAAATTAAAATACTTCAATACTAATTGCATGATTCTCAAATTATATAAAAGAAAACAGTTCCTTGCATTTAACATTAATTGCAAATAGCTATTTATACCGCAAACTTGAGTACTCCTTCATCTAAGGTACTTTCATCAATGCTAAGACACCACCAAATTTTTCAAACTATCTCTGAAGAGATTATGATCAAACTCTGCCAATAAACTTTGTTTAGTCTGTAGTTTATAATTACATAAAATTTAATATACGTAAGTATATCTCAATTTTTAAAAGCCAACACATAAATGTATTAAGTTATAAGACATGCATATTGGGCATTAATGTTATAATTATACCACTGCATATAAAATATGATTTAGGCCTCCCTAATGGCATAGCAGTTAAAGTCTCAGTGCTAGCAAGCTATCGCCAGCCACTGCCACATGAGTTCGATTCTGGTTCAGGGAGCTAACCCACATGTGCAGCAGACCTCTCCTGTCCCACCTGGTGCTCCCCACAGCATTGTATTTCAGTCCATCTGCCTGTTCTGCTCCCTGTTCTGTCTCTGGTGAATCCTCTCACCCTGCACATCTCTGGCCAACACCCCAGTTCTTATGCATAAATAAATGTATAAATACATGTATTATTTAGGTTTATTTCTGAGATGATTTTAGTAGTTCAGCAATTCATTTACTATACAAAATTGCATAAACTGCATATGCCTTTCCACAAAAGAAAAACTTGAGTAAAGCTGGTTAATAATTTTTCAATTATTATCTTAGGACAGTAAACAAAGCAAGATTGCCACTTGATAAGCCTATTCATGAAAACAAACATAAAAATAAGTATATTAAGTAGCCAAAATTAATACAAATGAAAAAAACACAAAAGTTTTAAAAAGAAACAAAGCAATTAACTCCTTCTCCCTGTGGGTGGCACTATTGACTTAAAAGAAACCAACTACCACAGAAAGATACTGTAATGGGCACTAACCCTTACAATTTAACTGCCACAAACCTGTATCAAATTCATGTGTTTGATTCCTAAAAATAATTACCCCTTTTTTTTCCAGATATCAAAAAGCCTTGTAATGAAATCCCCTCTAATTTTAAATCACAAATGAAGAATTTTTCCATAAAGTTGAATTGTTTCAACAAGCAAAATTTTGCAATGGAATTTTTTTGATGTTTTTGAGTAAACAACTAATTTCAAACAATTCACAACAGCAGTGCTCAACCAAGGAACCACTGTTTTCTGATGTTATTCTGAATTTTGCTATGTTCAGTACAAGACACGTCAGCTCTCCATGTATATAAAAACCAAGATACCGGAGTTGATTATCAGAGTATAAATGTATACTCACGACTGGCAATAAGCAAGGCGCAAAATAAAGTGAGAAATATGATCTCTTCTTCTTGGTTCATATTCATCTTCTAGGTTTTCCTTAAAAATAATGGCACATGAATAACAAATGCATTAGAATGGTAAAAGGAACATTGAGTCGGCAAAAATCAATCGTAAAGCCAGTTTCAAAAACACCTTTCTCATATTATGCTTTCCAGTATAATCACCATTTTACTTAAGTTAGCAACCAGGTCAAACTGAGAACTGCACTGAACTTCTCAAAACTATCGGCATTGGACCCCACTATTTGTTACTATCAACTCCTTCTCTCTTAACTTTCTTCCCCAGTGTGCTCACCACTTCAACCACTTCTTATATTAATCCTCTACTGCTTTCATTTCAGCCATCTGGCAAAACCTGGATTCTAAGTAAATTCATAGCTATACTCTGCAGTCCTAGTCTCAAAATGCTAAAAACCTCTGGAGAAACTCTGTGTAACTGAGAATTTAGAATATTAAAAATTCACAATTTCTAACTTCAACAGGACTTAACCAATCCAAGGAATCCTTATTTCAAGTCCAATATAGTAAAAGCAAACATACCTTGAGCATTTAAGAGGTAACAGACACTATTAAAATCATGTTTAATCTATTAACCTGTTTAATCCTTTTAAATAAAACCTGGAGGTAGGCACCACTGTATCTCTATTTTTAAAGATAAGAAGACGAAAGCACAGGGAAGTTGTGTGACTTGCCCAGGATCACAAAGCTTGTAAACAGCAGAGCTGGGTCTTGAAACACAGTCATCGCCTACCTCTTTTCTTACAAAAGCTACTTCGATTTTCATTAGTTGGCCCATGCTCGCAATCATACCACCTTTCCCTTCTCTCTCAGCAAAAGGCCCACCAGGCTGACTTCTTCAACTCCAAGCTTCTGCATCCATCCTTTCCCCCAGCCCATGGATAAATATCTCTTCTTCCTCCTGGATAAAATTAACCCCTACACCAAAACCCTGTAACACATCTGCTCTTGCTTCCTAAGGTCCTTGATTTATGAAGTAGTTTCTCCAAGCATCTTCAGACTCACCTCTTCTTTCTTCTCTAGATCTTTCTCCTCAGCTTATAAATACATTTGTGTATCTCCTGTTGAATGTATGTATACACACTTGTAAATGTTTATATCTATACATATATATGTATCTTCTTTTGTCTATAACATTCTCGACATTTAGCCTCTTTCTCCCACCTTTTCAACTACACATCTTTAAAAAGTAGATGCTCCTTAGCCAGCTATTTCCTCAACCCCTGCTATTGTCCTGGCTTCTGCCTCTATTTACAAGGACTTACACAATTGATAAATCCAATGCAATCTGTGTAACTCGTATTACATTATTTATCCAAAACTTCTGAAATTCTTCTGCTTAAGACCACCACCACCAAGGAGGTGTAATATCTAGATTTGAATCTTGATTCCACCATTTATCACCTTATAAGTCTGGAGAGTTAGCCTGCCAATAACTCAGTTTCCTTATCTGTAAAAGAGGGATGATAGAACTACCTATCTCATAAGACTGCTGTCTGATTACATGGGTTATAAGTAATCTACTTACAACAATGCTTGGTAGGATTAAGCAAAATACAATTGTTTGCTGTTATTATTCCTATACTATCACTGTTTACATCATGATCATTATCAAAACCCAGACTTCTTTGACTGCTAGGACACTATTATCCTGCTTGATCTCCTATCACTCAAGCAGCGCCTTCTCAATCTCCTTCCCGGTCTCTTCCAATCCCACTTCATCTTAAATATTGGTATTGCTCAGAGTCTATCCTCCATTTCTTTTCTTCTCATTCAAATATGTTCCTAGGGTGCTACCCCCTACTCCTGATAATTCCAACCTTCCTCTTAAATCTATAATCCCAGAGGTCTCCTACGTCCACCCAGACCTGTATGCCTATCTAATTATCCTCTAGATTTCTCCACAGACACCTCAAATTCATGTCTAGAACTAAACTCAGTATCTTCCTGCTAAGACTTGTTTTTCTCCTGTACATCACATTAAAAATATCACCACCATCCACCCTAGTTGTCCTAACTAGAAATTCCTAATTCTTATCCCTCCCTTCTTTCTGAAAACAGTCCCTAAAATCTTTTGATTCTATGTTCTAAATATCTCCAATCTTTTTCTATCCATACAATTCAGACTCTCATCATTTCCACACTCCTAAATGGTTTTCCTCCTACCAGAGATGATCCTCTCAATTTATTTGTTGTCATCTTCCTAAAATAAAAATCACAACCATCAAGATACAATTCCTGCACTACCTCCTCTGGGAAGTCTTCCAAACCAGAATAAGCTGGGCAATGTGGTCTTGGAGTTCCTGGAGCACCATCATCAGCCAGGGTATATTTGGCAATGTCTAGAGATACTAGTGGGTAAAAGCCAGAGGCATTACCAAGCATCCTGAAATGCCTAAGGCAGTTCCTGCAGTAAGGAATTATCATGCTCAAAACAATCCTGAGAAACCCTGACATATTATAACCATCTGATTACACATCAATCACCTGTGGAAGACCCCAGGCAGCTTCCAACAGTCTATGCTACATTAATTATTTTAAATAGCCCTGTGCCTAATTCAAGATCTTTCCCACAACTGCTACTCAGTTCATGTGTGTATATATATATATATATATATATATATATACACACACACATACACACACACACACAAAATGAAGGAATATTTGTTTCCCTCTTTTACTTACTCTGAAGGAAAACTTGAGCTTTCGGATCTCAGACTCCAACTTAGTCCGGTATTGGTCAGTTGTTTTCACATAGCTCACACCAAGATTTTCAACTGCTTTCAGCACTAAAAAAAAAAAGAAATTTTTTTTTGAACATAAGAAAAATACGTAAATGCAAGAGATCTTTAATTATATAAACTAAATCCAAAGCAGATAAAATCTACAAATAGCAACTTCATAATTACTTACGAAAGTGAGTGAGTTATTTTATTTTCTGCAAGTATACTGTGTAAGTTATAAACTTTTATAAGATAATCTCTCTCCATGTGCAAAAAACATGCATGTCCTACAGTAGAATCCAAAACCAGGGATTCTCAACCAGGAGAGAGGGAAGAATGACAGCTAATCACCACTGTACTGAGCTGCTGTTGTTGAGGAATGATAAAGAGTATTGGTCTGGAAGATGACTAAGCACCCTTTGTTTGCACCCTTTATGTAGAGCTGTTATATTAAGCAGTCTACTTCATGGACTCAGCATAGACTCATCAAAACACAGCCCTTTTTTTTCCTGATGGAGCAGAGAAGATACAACAGTGAAGGAGTAGGGTCCTCAACTCATTTAAATGCACCATTCTGAAAAGATGCCACATACTGTTCAAAGGTCCCTACAGCTCCTTGGCAATCTTTCTTCAGATGAATTCTTCTTCCACAAATACAAGAGGCATGCTTTAATTCATGAATGAAAAACTTCTAAACTACCCCCCTGAACATAAACCCACGTCCCAGAAGTACCTAATTATGATATCCCAAAGCAAACTCAGTATTATCCCCTCAATCAAGATCTTTCGGCATTTTCAACACTGACAGAGGGTCGACCCACCAGATCATCCAAACTGAAACTTCGGCCTCTCCCATCTGCTCTCACTCCTCAATTCCAGTTGCCAAATCTTGGGATTAGTATCTCCCCACATCCTTTAAATCTCCACTGTTACTGCCTTAGTTCTGGCCCTTACTATTTCACTTATCTGCCAAACCCCAGAGATACTTCTCAATCATCTTAATCCCTATGCAGCTTCTAATGTTGCTAAACTTCCTAAAACCCTTTTCTCCCTTACCTTCACTCTAATTCAACAAATACTGAGGACTCCCTCTCCATATTAGCAGTTCTGACTCTGCTCCTCTAAAAATGATTATCAGCATCTCACCTCCAGTTCTGATTACTCCACAAAGATATCCTGTAACATAAACTACCAAGTAAGTGCTATCATTTGTTTCAGTTCAAGACTAGCTCATTCCTTTCTTCTACCAACACACAGGATAAATGGGCTCCCAATATAGTTGTCACATCTTTCTTATACCCCAGTAATACACAATTAGCTTAGCAAAAAATGCTCTTGATTAGCCGTACTTCTCCATGCATCCTAAACTTGCCACTGTTCTCTTAAATATTATATTTTCTCAAGTCTCAAAGTCTCCATATAGGTTACTATCTCAGCAGAGAAAAACCTTTCTCTATTCTTTTGAGATTTTCTACTAATCATTCAAGGGCATGTCCATTTCAACTTATCTAAGTAGTCTTAATTAGATTAAGTCAGTCCCTCCCACCTTTGTTGCAGGAGCAATACAATTTACCTCTACACTTAGAATAAATTATGATTATTATTTTGGATGTCTGCCTCCATGAATTAGAATAAGGCTTCAATGTCAATGAGAATTACATTATTCATCTCAAAATCCTTGCCACCTAAGACACAGTGATGCTCAATTAATACACACTGTACAGTAAATAAATGACAGCAAACCCTCAATAAATATTTGTTGGCTGAATTGCTAAAGGAAATAAACTACCCTTACCCATTGCCTCAAAGTATAAGTAAGGTGCTCAAAAATATACTAATTCTTATTCAAATATCACTCACATTTAAGTCTATCGACGGCCAAGGTTTCAAATTCTATCAAAGATACGTTTTCAGAAGGCGGCTGCAAGTAAAACTGAAGGCTGTGAGGGTAGCAAGCAATCCTTTGGTCACCTGCCAACTTCAGTCTCCTCCGCTTTCCACCAGAAAACTGCATCGTTACCTTGTTTTAAAAAAACACACACACAAAGAAAGGTTAAAATGATGGAAAGTGGGGTTGAAAGGAAAACACCGCCCCCCAAGGGGAAAAATAAAAAACAACTCCTTATGAACAGACAAGAAAATTTAAGTTGAAGGGGACGTACAAAATGTTTTCCCTGGTTATCTCTGAGTAATGACTCTTGCATTTTCCGAATTTTATACAACACACCTGTGAAAATTCTGTAATGAGCAGTGGGGGAGCTGTTTACTAGAGGAGACACAGGTGGTGGTCCGAACTTTCAGCAAGATTAAACTCAGGTGAGCTCTATGCCCCACCATTCTAGCTCTCTGCAATCCCAAGAGTTAAGATGAGCTTACACGGGATGCAATCCTGAACGCCAAGGAAAGCACGATGGATTTTGATAAAGACTTCTCCTGCCGGCCCAGTTCCTCAATTCCTACCTTAGGATCCTGGTAATTACAACAACTCTTTAAAATCCATTATTTCGGAACTTCTTTTAGGGAGGATCCACAAATTGCTTATAGGAATTAACACCCCGATCCAACCTCTCGCTTCCCCCGCAGAAGCTGCCCAGCAGGCTCAACCCACTGACAGCAGAGTCTCTGCCCCAACCAGCCACGCCATACCCAGACCCTCACCCCGCGGGTCAGTCCTCAGGCGCCCCCCGCCAGCGGAGTGCGCGGCCCTTCTTGACCTTCAAGCCTCAGCGCTAAGATTGCTGTCCGCCATAAATCCGCGGTAGTTTCTCTTACCTACAACACCGCAAACGTGAAAAAACACCAACACTGAGAGCCGCTTCTCCCGGGTGGCGGGAAATTTCAGATGATTTCATTACGGAAGCGGATGCGCCGGGCAGAGAGGCGGGTCCTCGGCCGCCCCGCCCACCCGGCACGCTGCGCATGCGCGGTGGGCGTTCCGGGCCGCCCAGGCTGGTTCGTGCGGTTTAAAGGCAGGAACCTCCCCTGTGGCGCGGCGGGTAGAGCGCCGTGCCCTGAAGCTGTCCGGAGGCGCTGGAGCGCAGGTTCAGTTCCCGGCCTGCCACATAGCGCGGCAGACCTCTCCGGTCTCGCCCACTGCTCCCCTCAGCAGTATATTTCGGTCTTTCTGCCTGTTCTGCCCCCCATTCTGTCTCTGGTGAATCCTCTCACCCTCCCACGCTTCTGACCTGTACCCCAGCTTGTGTATAAATAAATCTTAAAAAAAAAAAAGTAACAAATTTTAAAAAGTGTTTTTAAATGCAAGTGATTTTGTTGCTAAATATTCGGCTGCACCTCCTGCATGTTGACTCAGTAGCTTCTGACGGTTGAAATGGGATGCTGGAATGTTGGTGACAAAAATATCCACAGGCCGAAGAGTAAACCAGTGTAATTTGGCTTGGGAAAGTTAATAAAGATTCTCTAAGTTAAAGAAAAGGAGGCGCTTTGACTACAGGGCTGTCAGTGATCGCTTTCGCCCTGGGGTAGGAATGGAGGAGGAAGAGACATTTATTGAGATCAGGTTTTGCATGCTGCCCACTCATTAGGGGATTTTTTCTTTCTTTCTTTCACGGATCTTAAACGGTAGATTGTATCACCCGCTTTTACAAAATAAAGCTGAAAGCTCATTGTTATTGTGCCTTTCTATGTATAATATGTATTTGTTTTTTCTAACAGGTGGCAAACCCCACACGTCCAGATTCCGACTTCAGTTCCCTCGTCACACACACACACACACACACACAGCTTCATGCATAGTGAGTCCCCAGCAAAAAACCTGGAATATGCTAGAACAAGTGAAAATATGCACACACGCAGGAACTGCACCGGGATCAACAGAAATTAGGAGCGCTCAGGTCGAGTAAATGGAAAGCACTGAAGTGGGTGTGGCTCTTGGACTGCCAACCCCAAGGAAGCAGCCCCTCCGGCTCTTGGAGCTCTGCGAGTTTCAAGAGCGGGAAATAAACCTCACTTGTGGCCTCTAGGGGGCGGTGTGTCATTACAAGTGTCAGAAAAAGGCTCCTATAAAGCTCGTGATGGGCAGTGAAGAATGTTGTGAAATATTCAAGTTTTTAGAAATATAAAGTATTTTGAACCAATATTAAGTATCAGAGCATCTACCTGCCATTGACCACTTTGCACGAGGACCAGCATTACATTCTTTTGGGATGCTTCTGACTGCTATGAGCAAGCTGCCCTTTACAGGTTTCTCCAAATGTCCACTGAGCCCTGTCCTCACTAGTCCTGCAATCTGAGCAGATGTCGTCCATCACCAGAACTTTAGCTGCAGGACAGCCTCTCTGAGCTAAACTCATTCTCATTTAACTTTTCTTAGCTTTTTTTTTTAAGATTTATTTTTATTTATGCATACAAGAACTGGGATACAGGCCAAAAGTGCAAGTGGGGAGGTGTGAGAGGATCCTCCAGAGACAGAGTGGGGAACAGAAAAGGGAGACTGAAATACACTGCTGAGGGGAGCAGCAGATCGAACTCGCACTGCAGAGGCTGCAGATAGCTTCACAGTGCTGTGCTTAACCCCTCTTGCCACCAGGGAGGCCCAACTTTTCTTGGCTTTATCCTCAGTCCGGTCTTAAATTGCATCACACTTAATTTTAAATGCCAGTACTCCTTTGTCTGCAATAGTTAGTTCTAATAACTATTTCTTTGGACAGTTAAGACAGTCTACCACAAATATAAAAGTGCTTACATTAGTGACAACTAACACATTGGCAGTGAAGTAGAATATAGGTACATTTGAAGGTGTTTTTAATGTTCTATTTTAATCATTCAATAAATATTTAAAGGCTTCACAAAGCATGGCCCCAAGATTGATCACCTATGGCTCAATTCCAGTTTATGCTCTGATCTACCAGCTGCTCCCTTATAAGGCCTTACACTTCCCCACCTTGTGTCTCTCATTTTTGGTGATCTCTGTATTTCAGAGTCCTCGTCCTTCCCTTCTATTAGAATCCTGCCTATCTTCCAGTAGTCAAATGCTGCCTTCCTCCATCCAACTGAGCCTGTGCTGATTCAACCTGGGCTATTCCTCAAACTCTTTGTAATTCCATATGCTATGATTCCTTCTCTAGTTATATTCTTCTACCTAAAAAGTTTTTAATCTTTTGGGAACACGAACCACTGGACAATTTGATCAACTCACTTCTCAGAAAAATGCACCTATATACCATATTTGTAGACTATTTGAAAAGGGTTGTGAATACATGTGTGACTCCTTAGGAATATTAGCATCTCTAGATGTTAAGTTCTTTTATAGCAGGCCTTTTTGTTTTTCTTTGTGCTCCCTGAAGTGCCCACCATAGCGTAGTGGGGCAACCAGGTACAGGGCAAGTCTTCCAGCTCCCCACAAATCTTTACTCTTTTCTCTTTAGACTCTCTCTGGTGTTCACTTGTGGTCTTTTCCTCTCATAGCCATAGCTGTTCTTCACCACCCTGATAGCCTCAGCCTCCAGGCTCAGGTGTGCACACTCACACAAGCCCACAACCATACTCCAGGTGTCCACCCTCAAGACACGTGTGCCCCACGCCCACACTCCCAAGCACCTCCTGCATTAGCACAATCAAGGGTGCAGGTGATAGCCACAGAGGCTAGCAGTGTAAAAGACTGATCATTTCATTTACGCTACACATAGTATCTTCCAAATTAAAAGATGAAGTAATGTCTCAGAACTGGAAAAACAGGCTCATGTTTAACATTCCCAATATCTTACTAAATATTATTTCTGCTAGACAACCCACTGTAGCGACAGTAAGAAACAGTGCAGGATCTCTATGATCCAAGCAGACCGGGTAAAGGAGAGTCCTGGAGACTTCAGTGGCTTTTTTAGGGTTTTGTTGACTTTACCAGGTACATGGAAGGCAGGGGTGCATGTTGCCAGCCTCCCAGGCCCCAGCAAATCTTCACTCTTCCTGGGCTCTCCGGCGTGGCATTCTCTCATGGTCTGCTCTCCTTTGTTCTTCTGATTTCCCCGTGACACCCCCCTTCTGAGCCCAGTCTCTCAGCCCAGATGTACCCACTTACGTTTGCCCACACCCTACTCCAGGTGCCTGCCATCAGGCATGCATTCAGGACCGCAGGGATCCATCATTAAGCCTAATGGCGGGAGGGCAGAAAAGCCTGGCAATTATTTACCCTACACCCACATTAATAGCTGCCTTTACATCATATTAAAAATCAATTTTCAGTCCAGGGAACAAAATGATTCATGCCAGCATCTTTATTGTTTTTTAATGCCACAGTATTAGTGCCTCCATCACTGTAAAGAGTATTTTCTGTATCCTAAGGTAATTGCTATCTGAATCCACATCAGAGTACCACAAATGCACGATAAGGTCATACATTTCAGTAGCCATATTTAGTAAACCCATTGCAGGGTAAAGAAAATATCAGGCTTTTCTGCCCTTCCGCCATCAGGATAGATGATGGATCCTTGTCCTGAATGCATGCCTGATGGCGGGCACCTGGAATAGGGTGTGGGCATAGGTAGATGGGATTCAGCCGAGCTAAGACTGTGCCTTTTAAGGGCGGCGTCACGGGGACGCCAGCAGCAGCAGTAGAAGTCGAAGCAGAGGCCGAAAGAGAAGCCAAGAAGCAGCAGAACGAAAGCCAGAGAGCCCAGATAGAGTGAAGACTTGCTGGGGGCTGGGAGGCTGGCAGGCCTCCCAGCCAGCACCCCTGCCTGCCATATGCCTGGTGAACCCCAATAAAAGACCTGCAAAAAACCATTGAGGACTCTGACTCCTCCTTTACCCGGTCTGCATGGGATCAGAAAACCTGCTCTGTGGTTGTAAGGGCCGGACTGGGCACAGTGCAGGTTTTCTGATCCCATGCAGACCGGGTAAAGGAGGAGTCAGAGTCCTCAGTAGTTTTGCAGGTTTTTTAAGATTTTTTAAGCAAGTCTTCACTCTATCTGGGCTCTCTAGCGTTCGTTCTGCTGCTTCTCGGCTTCTCTTTCGGCTGCTGCTTCGGCTTCTACTTCTGCTGCTGCTGCTGCTGTCCCCGTGACGCCGCCCTTAAAAAAAGCACAGTCTTAACTCAGCTGAATCCCATCTACCTATGCCCACACCCTATTCCAGGTGCCCGCCATCAGGCATGCATTCAGGACAAGGATCCATCATCTATCCTGATGGCGGAAGGGCAGAAAAGCCTGATATTTTCTTTACCCTACAGTGGTCCAGTCCTGCCCTTACATCCATGTAAGCTCTTTTGTGTATTTATTTCATCAACAAAAATGGATTGACACAGGGCTCAGCCCTAGCAACCAAGGAGCATGTAAATTACAGATCCCAGCATACCAATCAGGAAGAGGAAAACACATATAAACACACAGCTTTTACTTCTACTAGATCTTAAGCATCTCAAAAATAAGAGGCACTGTGACATTCATATTTGTAGCTCTGTGTCTGGCACTCCATGGGCCCTCAACAAATATGTATCATATTGAATTGATGTAAAATGTGAGAAATGTACCAAAAAGTGCTGGGTTCAGCTTGACATTCAACAGATGGTTTGAATCAAATGTGACCCAAACCTATAAAACTTCAAGTTTTCATCTGGAAACTTCATACACATTCCTTCCAGAATGACTTGGCACCCCCAGTTTAGCCTGTAATAAGCACAGAGTACCTTCTCTGACGGAATTTCCATGAATCATCACTGCTCAATTCAGTGCCTGCCAGCCACAGACAGACTGTCCCACAAGGCATTCACCCCTAGATAACTCCAGGCTTCTAGGAGTTCTGCCCTGTAGTCATACAGTGGAGAATTTAGTTACCAAGCTTGGTAAGCCAGTGAGAGTGTTCATTCTTCCCATGTGCAGGGTGTGTTGCCCTAAAACCCAAAGGTGTGGTAAGTTTCCTTACCCAGCAAGGATGCTATA